CTGGGATTCTGTGATTCTGTGAAATAAAACTTCTGAAAAGATAGTTCTTGATGCAAAATGCTTATAAGCAAAAAAAAAAAAAAATATTGCATTAAAGATACACATGGAAAACCTGAGATGTGGTTAAAAGGCAGGAGTGGGATAGCCAAGGTTTAGGCACATTTCTCAGTGAGGTCTACAGACTTCTATTACCATCTTTTTCATACATATTCAGTTTCAGGAGGGACTTCCAAGACAAAAACAGGTACACGACAACAGTTGACAGGCAGGAAGAACAAAAGCAACACAACCTATCTGCAGAACTTGTCCAGATTTTCGACTACTGCTTAATGTGTATCTACTCAATAGCAGATCATAATTGAGATTCCTTGAGTTATGGAAGCACATATATAAATAATGATTTGTGGATACTTTTGCTATGTTTTAGTGGTTTCTATGCTTAGATCCAGGATTATATGTGACCCTATGTGCAAAAGGTAACCGTCGTCCTTCCCCAAAGCTGTTGAGAGAACAGAGCTGCAGAGACTAAATGACTAGCTTTAGAGATTTCCAATATAGCTACCAAAGCTAGTTCTCCTTTCCAGAAAGCAAATCATTTGATACTTGTTGATATCTACCTTCAGATTAAATGAATTCCATAACAGTAGGGTAGAATTCAGTTCTGAATTAACACAACTGAATTTAGGAGTCCAGATGTAGGGGAACACACATGACCTAGGTACCACAGTTTCCATTACAGCTAATGCAGCCTAAAAGAAGTATTAATCGACCAGCCAGTGGTGCTGGATTTAGCTTTGACTTAAATACGCCTCAATGGCATCTGAGATGCTCAGCATTATCTGAAATGCTCATATGCAGTTAACAGAACTGACAAAAGACCTCTGACAGATCAGCATCCTTCAGAAGCAGCTACAGACCATGGCATTTTCAAGCATCTCAGATAACATTAGTTTTCTATGGGCAAGAAACTGAATAAAGTTTTAAGTGTTTACTTTAGGGTAAGCTGAGTGACTCTAGGATCCATAGAGTACATTCATTGATTATAACGGAAGCTTAGACATTAGGTTCATATGTAACTTACACATAGGCAGCTTCTCAGTCTCAGGATGGTAAACCAGATGGAGAGAACTGTGTTCCAAGGAACATTTGCGGAAGGAAAATACTTCTATCTAAATTTATGCAAAGACAAATGATGTATTTTTAGTTGTAAAAATCCTAAATTCCTATGGAAAGACTGAATTTATCAGGGATGTAAAATACCAAATGTGAGTTCAACTAAGGGGTTACGTGGTAATTTCTAAGATAGTTATTTTATATGTATCGTCATGAGGAAGAGTCTGGAAAAACCTGTAAAATCAGATTCAAGAGTCAACTAAAAATTTTACTGGTGGAAGAAGTCAAATTAAGCAATGCTTAATTTATAAGAGAAAAATTCCAATAGGAAAAAACCCCCAAACACTGGCGAGAACAGCACATTCGGGGCTCATGGAAACCAGGAATGAATTTTACATAACTAGGTTCTTCACACAACCACTGTTGCCTGTAGTGTTTCTACAGCAGCTGACTTACATGGAAGTAGTAATTCATTCTAGGGTTACAAATTACCTGTGCATGGGACAGTTGTTATCTAACCAAATTTGATGAGGGCATGATTTGACCATGGACGCTTCAATCGCTCTACTGTAACGAAGGCCCCGAATGCATCATGACTTAACAAAAAATGCTGGAGACAAGAAAGTAGTTTTCATGTTGCCTCTATAAAATACAGGTTTTCTCCAGGGATATTTGATTCTTTTTTGCCTCTGTATAAGTAAAATGCTAATAATACAAGACCATTTAATACAGCACTAAGTCACAGAGCTGTGAAATTTGCTGCTGTTCAATGGCCATGGATGGTAGATGTTACCAAGGCCTATTGTCCAATGTTTGCTCTGATAATCTTGGAAGAAAGAAGCTGTACTTCTGTTCACAGTTCAGTTTCTCGTGTCAGATTTAGGTCAACCACTCTGTAAGATGGGAGAAATAGAGACATACTGTATCAAACACCTCACTCACTAGTGGAGATCTAACCAGAATTCAGATGCAGTGATGGCACTGAGAGATGACAATAGCAGAGACTTTTCAGAGACTTACTTGGGTGTTTTACACATCAGTTACCATTTAGCCAGCGAGAGCAGCCACTTCTCCCACAGCATGCCAGACAGATCTAATACTGAAACTGAAAAGAGTGTCTTAAATGGAAGTCAAGGACCATTAAGTCATTAAATCAGATGAAGTCTGCACAGAAGTATCAGAATAAATTGTGTGTGGAGGCGTATCAAAGATATAATTAAGGTATTTGTAAAAAAGGGCAGGAGGAATTATGGTCACCAGGACACAAGACTCTTTCCTTCTTTTACCCAGGTCCTTCTAAACAAGGGGACACTTATAAGTGACCTTATACACACTCACTTTAGAAAAAGCAAAGTGAGTGTTCACAAGGAGTCAAGATCTAGGCTAAGAGAAAATATTATGGCAAGAAATGTGCATTAGACTGAAACTAGTGTAGCTTTTTTTTAATACCAATTAGCATCACTCATTCTCCTGATCTGGCTTGCTTAAGAACATTTGCAAGCACCAACTCTGCCCATTCTGTGACTTACAGCAAAATTATTTGTGTTGCTTCAAAAAATGCTCTTTTGTTAGAAGAACATATTTGCTTATGTAATAGCTGAGCCACTACAGAATGCAGTCAAAACTGTGCCCCCTACTTGTGACCAAAAGGCAGCTTCAGTTTTAAAACAGGCACTGATGTTGGCTTTGCTTTAGATAGAGGACAAGAATGCCTAGGAAAAATTGTGGCCACTATACAAGCACATAAGTATGCTTCAGCAAAATGCTGAATAAAAGCATCATTGTGCTAAATAAAGATGCTCAATTTTTACTCTAGAAATTGTACCCAACTCCCTCTGCAAACCTTTGCTGCCTGCTGTTCATATCTGAAGTAAGAAGGTCACCCTAATCCGACTCCACATGTTTTTGGTATTTTCAGAGAACAGTTATACACTGCTGAGAAACTTTTTCTAAGTAGCTTTTTCTCTTTACTCAATAAAGGCAACCAATCCATGTCATTTATACAGTTTCTCTTAAGGTATCTCTTAATGGTAAACTGATAAATTGCTATTTCAAATTTCTGTTAGAACCAGGCACAGCAGTCATTCTGTGTTGGTGGGTTCTTTCAGGTATTTTTCTTGTTTTCATTCCATAGGGATTTGAGTAACTCAGCATCACATTCCTTATGACTAGGAAATGTTTCATAATTTCACTTTACTGTATATCAATAACATTTTATCTTTCCCTTAATATGCCCTTCTGAGATGGGCTTGCAGTAAAACACATTCATGTGCTGCTGATGTAGCCATAGTTCTCCTACTGACTTTTTCCATTGCTCAACACACTTACTAATGTAAACCTCATCAACTTTTACTCCCATCTCAGCTAAGAATCTGACTGAAAAGCAGAGACTGGAATCAATTTCTAATTTAGGAAGAAAATAAGTGCTTGAAAAGAAAATTGCTTCAGAGGGAAGAAAAATTCAACAGCAACAGCTGTTGAAATCGAGAAATTTATAAATGCAACCACAGTGTATTTAAGATGGTCAGACATCCTAGTTCAAAAATATTGGGGTTGTTCCTCCTCCATTTTTGTACCAGTTTAACCCAAGGAAATGCAGACATATGATTACACCTGCCCCATTCTTTTGTCTATATTCTCAGCAACTGCTGAACCACTCCTACCCCATTTCCTCTTGACAAGTCAGATATTGCTGCTGTTTCTGTTTCACTGTGCAGTTAAGTAGCTGATGTGTCTTCCTCAGCACATTCCCAGCATCCTGTTGTTCTCACTTCTCTCTAGAGCACCTTGGCCCAGGAGAAAATAAGAAAGGAGTTTTGCTAGTGGGTGATGAGTAACGCCAAGAGAAAGCAAGTTCGAAGAAACTGATACAAATATATTGCAGGGTGAATTAGGCTGGATATGGAGGCTTGGCAGAACACCACTAAAGATTTGAACTTCAGCCCTTGCTCCCAGAGACTGCTATATAATTCTCAATCACTGTATAATGACAAACAACAACTCTTACTGACAGCAGTCTATTTCAGGTAAAGAGGGGTGCGCAAAGGCAAAGCTATGGCTTTGAATCTTCTCAGGCAGGGAAGGACACTGAGCCGAGACTCCCATACTTTGAGCAAGTGCTCTGACACCAACCTAAAGAAGAAAAACTTGCTTGCCAGTTTTGCAATTGGTTATATGTATTATGAAAAGCCAAACCTGAACTCTGGAACTACTTCTTCAGACATCAGAGAAGAAAGAGGAAGGAATACCCAATTTGGATCATCCTAGCGAGACCTATGCTCTGAGCTGCTTTGCCCTGTGAAGACTGAAGTGCTTTCTGTACATGCTGAAGATCCCCTGTTACCTTGGAAAATGTAGTTCAACATTAAAGGAAATAACTTTACTGGACAGTTGAACTGAGATTTTGAGAATTTAACTTGGATGTATGTATCTGCAGTCTTCTAAGTCATTATTTTGCATCTCAGTTCATGCCCATACAAGCAGTCTAGTTTAAATTCTTTCGATCTTTGATGAAACCAACACTGAAATTGTTCTTATGCTTTTTTAGGCTTTGGACTGGCAGCTTTCCATGCATTCAGATCCCCACGGGCCACGCAGAGCTCTACCGATGTTTCTGAGCCGGTTTTCAGAACAGGCACCATTTATATTATATATTGATGATGAATAATATACATCTACAGATCAATTTTCACTTTGAAGAAGGTCTAAGCTTAAAATAGCAAAATTTGCTTTATGCAACAGCTCAAGACTCCAATTCTGATTTATTCAGGAGAAAAAAAAAATCCTGTTTAAAAGTAATACTAAAAGTATTTGGAGAGCTAGGCAGAAAATCCAGCATTTTACTTTAAAATAAAGCTATATCTTTAAGGAATATAAACCAAAACCACTTACAGTTAAATTTTATTTCGCATTCACTTTCGTATAATATTTGCCCAGTGATAACATCTATGAGTTAAACTATTTCAATATTACTGAAAGAATGAGGGTTTTTTTATCTTGCAGAAGAAACACTCAAAAGTCAGCAGCTGTAATTCTAGGTCAGAATTTCTCCTGACTCTTGTTCTCTTTATACAGGAGCTGGTTTAAAACACTGCTCTGTTTGAGAGCTTTTAGATTGGATATATCTTCGCTTACAACAGGGATATCTTCACTTTGACCCTCAGTTATCAGATCTTCACTGTCAGAGAGCGTACACAGGAGTGTATCATTTTCATAGGTAGGAAAATAATACCTGAAAGAAACAAGACATAATTACTAGACAGCCACATGTTTTGTTTCAAAGAGGCTGAGCATATCTTATGAGATTACATTTTAAGAAAGGAAAAATGAGAAAGTCTGTCTGGAATGACAGTAAATAGCGCATCCAAAAAAATCCAACTGGCATGTACACCTTAGAAGAGCTGTACAGAAGAGCTGGCAACAAACAAGCTTTTCCCCCTGCTTCTTCACCTGTACATTGTCACAACTGAGGCTGCAGATCCAGATTTGTCCCACAACAAATGCTGTAGTGAGCTGTTTGAGTTAGAACACTCCCTGTGTTCTACCACCTATGGTGTCATCCCCCAGACCTATTCAGCCTACTTACAGTCTGAACCAGTGTTGTTACACTCTATTTGCTATGGAGGAAACTAAGGGCAAACTTGTTTTGATGCCTAAAATGAGGTAGACATATGCATATATCTACATTAGACATGTAAAAGAAGTGGTTCCAGAACCATATGACTACAGTGTATCTTTACTAGCAATGGGATATGTGTCAGATGCCCATTCCAGGCATGAGCTGCATGTGTTTAGAGAGCCAATGGCTGAAAGAATGAAAAGGTGCCTACAGGAGGAGCAGTTGAGATGTCACTATGGTGCACAGGCTCAGCCTTTTCTCCACCAGGAGAGAACATGATCTATGTGTACCATATATGTTTTGCACCATGTACTGCACAACTGCAAATAACAGGCAAAACATAATTCTGCCTTCTCTAGCACACTGACCTGACAGTGCAGACACAGCTTACAGTGACAGTGCATCCTGGGTGCAACCACAAGAGCAGTATCTCATGTTCATTTTAGCTTCAGACTGTGAGATTTCTAATTCTGAGTATTCTGAGATCACCTATTATTTTATCTAGGCCAGTAGAGCTCAGGGCACTACTGCACTGGCAAACCCCAAAACTTTCAACTTACTGTTTTACAGGTATTATCAAGTAACACCATAAATGCTGGAAGAAACATGCTTGCCCTTACTGTGGTTGATCCCATGTAGACCTAGCTGGCAAGAATGTAATGTGTTTGGTCTCCTCCATATGACTTATCAATCCTCCTTTAGACTGGAACTTCTCCTGGCAGTTGTAGCAACGACAATGATGGATTTCTCTCCTGATGAAGTTCAGTAGCTTTACTTGCTGATAAAAGTTCAGACCTGGAAAACACAGTAAAGAAGCACTTGGGAAACATAAGATTTAATTTACAAATGCTTTCCTGGATTCAGCGTAGAGATTGGTAAGAGTTTATCACTCTTACAGCACTGGCAGAATGCTGTAACTTAGCAAATCAACTGAACAACTGTTTTTTCCCAGCTGTAGAGGAAATAGCCCTTCTTTTAATGTAAAAATTGTAAATACTTTGCTTCCTCTCGGTCCAAGTAAGTCTTTCTGCTTAGTCAACAGCAGAAAGCAAACACTGGCTGAACAAAGCCTAGAGCACAGCCTTCCCATTTGCAATCAAGTACCAACAGGCATAACAACAATAGCATTAATAATAATAATAATAGCAATAATAATATCCATAATAATAACAACATCAATAATAATGATAATGATTGTAATAATAGTAATAATTCCAGTACTCCAGCAGCCAGATCTGGGACTCACAGAGTAGGTATTTGTAGAAGATACTCTTCAAAATAATGCAATGGTTCTAAAGAAAATAGCAGACATCCTTGGTACTAACAACAGTTCCAGAAAAATAAAGTGTTCTTGGCTTCCTTTCATAAGCTGGGAGAAACAGTTTCCATAATGGAAAAGTTAAATGCCCGAACAAAAATCAAATCGATATAGTTGTTTTCCAGTGCTCTTATGATGTGGTTTTCTCCACACTAGTGGCAAATGCTGACAACTACAGCACCTCTTACTCACCATGCTCTGTCTTTATTTTAGGAAAGTCAAATCCATGTGATTTCTGAAGCGAAAAAAAAGGAAATAAAAAAATATCTTATTTCCACTACTTCTACTATTTCAAGTTAAAAACAGCACAACATTTCATAGACTGACACAGACATACGCATATAGATGTGCAAACCCTACTACATGAAACACACACCCTCCCTCCCAGTTTTGCTTCATCAGGAGCTTTTATATTCTGTTAGACTGCAACACTCTCATTAAATAGTTAATTAAAACTGAAACACAGATTCTAACCATTAAGTGCATTAAATCATCAAACCACTACAATACTAAAGATGCTATATCTTTATTGTCTGTACCAGTCTGTACACTCACAAGTAACAGCGAGTCATAGTCTCAATGTAAAACTTGACTCCTCTGCCTATTTTACAGAACTGATGCTGGAGATTCATGCAGTGCTTTAGCTCTGCAATAGAGAGGGCATTCCAATGCAGCAGCTGATTGGACCTTAACAAAGATGATACAATCCCACTCTTTATTTCCAAATGATGAAAGAACTGTTATTTAAAATAAGTCTTACCTGCATGTGAAGATACAGTTTTTCTGTGGTGTCCGCTTGTTGTTCACAGAACAGGCAAACAGCACACACAGGATGCTCTTCCCAGTCTGACCAGTCTCTTACGATTCAGAGCCAAAAAGATTCATTTAATTGTGGAAAAGAGAAGAGACATTTTGTGAAAGGGCACTTCAGATTCTGCTCTCACAGCACTAGAAATAAATCCAGAGAAACTGAATACTTTAAAGAGGTGGAAGAGACAGTGTGGATTTATACCTGAATACAAGGGTAACGGAGCAGTTACTGTTGGCTAATTCCTCTGCAGACAGGCAGTAAGTCCTACTTGAATTTGCCTGCACTAAATAAACAGGATCTTAACTTCAGTTTCTCTCCAGTTTGGCAAGTCATCAAATACCCCATTCTGTGTTTATAAGATCTTTTAAATTCTTTTGTACCTTTCTCATCTTTCAATACACCAGCCAAAGACATAATCATCAGACAGACTTCATTTCAAGTGCTATTTACTTATCAAATATTATTATTCCTGAGGCACTCATTTATGCTACATTTAGAAATGCACACAGAGAATATTTTGCCAACACATTTGTTTAAAACCCCAGTGCTACTGAGGAATAGAAATATTCTGACGGATAGAAATATTATTGCGAACAAGTATAACCAAGTGAAATTAAGCTCAAGTAACAGGCAGAACCAGGAAGGTCAGGGACCCCAATACCCACAAATTACTTCCTGGCTATTCAATTCTCTATGGCCAAGGAAGCCAACTTTGCGGTGACCTGAGGGCCTGGACTACAGAAGAATGCAGAGGAGAGGTGGATGTCACCCGCAGTCTGTTTTGCTGGGAAGTTTCCTTTGAAATCCTGCTTTAATTTCTAGTTGTTACCTTTTTATCAGACTTTTTAATGTAATTTCTTTATCCTGCTGACATTTTTGATGTTTACTCTTGATTTTTAAATTTGAGCAAAACTCGTTCAGCTGTTTTTTTGGTACAAAAGTAAAAAATAACTCATTTTACCTACATCACTGCAAACACAAACAGCTCTTGTTTGAGCTCTGTGCAAATGAAAAATAAGCTTCCAGTTGAAGTACAAAATTTACAGCCCTCACTGTGCAGAACTGTCTTTAATGAGAACATTTTGGAGTTGATTTGATTGGTTTAAATGAATTTTAACTGTGTACTAACTGTGCACAGCATTTTCCCTGTAACTACTTTCAATGATAATGGCCTTGCAAGTCTTTATAATTGGCATATAAGTAACTCTTACTCTTCTAGGTTATCTAGTAGCTCCCGGTCATCCTCTGACTGCACTTCCTCCCAGGACTTTCCAAATTCCTGGGGAGAAAACAGAAAAGAAAGAGAAAAAACATTTCCTGTTTCACATCATCTTTTATATATCAATGGAATTAACATCTTAGAAATCACAGTCAACATCTTATTTTGGATCACTCTGGTACTTCTGTGAGTTAAAGGTAGTTGTACAACATTGCTTTAGTAATGATTTTTAAAGTAACGATTTGCTTTGTCTTTTAATGAAGCATTTCCCACCCTATATCTCAGAAGATGATTATTTGGCACAGAGTTCTCAAGAAAACCATCCATGCTCTGTGTAAAACTAAAGCGTTGCAACACTACCAAGATGTTCACAAGGTGGGTACATTATCACCATCTCGAGTTTGCCGTCACACTTCTATCCAGTCTGCCTACCCTGCACTTCATGCAGCATATGCTGCTTAAATAATGCAGCTGTAACATCTGAGACTTCAGTTGGCATAGTTACACCAGTCAGCACTCGTACCTTGTACGAGGTTATGTTAGTGAAAACACATGGTGTAAACTTAGCTACAGAGTACCCCAGAAAGGCAGCATAGGGCATAGATCCAGTGCATAGATCTCTGAGCTAGGCTCCAGTTTCTCTTCCATCCTCTTCTCAGACATGAATGTAAGCACACCTATTCATGGTGTTCTGTTTTTCCTTTTACTTTCTGTGTTGTTTATTTATATCTGAAAGACCTTCAGCACAAAGTACATCCTGATACATTTGTGCAGCATTCAGCACAATGGCAAGCACTCTCAGCATGGCTGCAATATAAATAACAGGCAATAAAATGCTGAAGTACCCTACTGAAATACCAGCAGTGATCTTTAGCTACTGTTTTCTTTTTGCTCTGATTCTTCCTGCCTTTAAAGTAAACCTGAGCAAACTAACCTGTAATCAAAATAGTATTTTTGAAATGATTTTGACTGCTGCAAAAGATTCACAAAGATCACAGTTGACAATCTCATACTCGTTAAAAAAAAAGGCAGCTAGTAAGCTCATACTTTCATTTATCTAATTCAAATATTCTCTCTAATAAATATATTTAATAACATCCTTAGTAACAAGTGTTATTGCCTTCATGGATGGTTGGCAAAAGAAGGAAAAGATATCCATCATTTAACAGTTAATGAGAATTTGCAATGCTGTTAGTGTCTATCAGGTAAGCGATAAACAAATGTCTCTAGACAGCTCTAAACATGTCATCATATATTACAGAATGAAAACTCAGTAATTAATTCAGTGATGCTACATGGTTGTGTGCAAACTTGCTGAGTTACAGGGGAGACTCATTAATGTCACCATCACTGTGAGATAACATGAAGCCATTAACACCTCTCACCAAGTTCTCAGGGCACCACTCTAGTTTCTTACAGCTGCTAATGCTAACGCCTTAATGAGTGGATAGTCTCTTACATGCAAAATGAAGACGAATGCTCACAATTTCTCCTTGTACCAGCTTGAAGTATATATACATAAAAGAGTATGTTCAAAAGAGCAGCCGATTTTAAACTTCACCTTTCAATTAGAGGTGAAAGGGAAAAACCATACAAAAGCTTTATTGTTGTGGTTTCTTTATGAAGTTTCTGTGAAGAAGGCAGAGAAGGTCTCTGTTTCCCTCACATATTTATATACAGAGGAGGAAAAAAAAGAGGAAAAAGGAAAATGCTAACCAGGTCTTGTATCACTGGAAAATTGCACAGTGCATGGGTAACTGGGGACATTGTGATGAAAGTGCCAAGAGGCTGAAGCTGAAGCAACTGGGTGGGCAAGAGTTCTTCAGAACATTCTTAAAGCTCTTCCAGTTGTTTTGATTTGTTTTGGTAACATACACCTTTTCAGCTCTACAGCTTGATGGGCATCTGGGACCAAGGGTGCCTTTGTTAAGTATTCAACTTCCCTTGTTCTTTCATCTGAGATGCAAGAGCTCCCAGCAACCATCTCAAGAGATTCTCAAGAAATTCTGAACAAAACAAGAGAAAAAATAGACTTGACATAGTTTACAGTTCAAACAGTAGAAAACACATAATTAAAAAAGCTACAGGCCTTGCTATATATCCAAATGAACCCAAATGTGTATGGTTTGATTATTTCTTCTCCCAAAATGAAGTCAAAATGCACAGAGATGAATTGCCTCACTGACAATTTACCTTCTCGAGTGCAAAGGTTCTACAGGGAGACAGTCCATGTGCTTTACTGAGGCAAGATACCCCAGCTTCAGAGGAAGTGCTGAGACAGGAGAAACTAGAAACAGCAGCTGGTATCTCAAGCAGTTTTCCCAAAAGAACAGTTATAGAACTACCTGAAAACAGAGCTCCAGGCCCATGGAGCTCAGAAACTCTAAACAGATGCCGCTTTCCCCTGCAAATTTCCTCTTGCCCTTCTCACCTGCCTTACTGCGATCATCTGGATTGTTTTATATTGCTGCAGAACTCAAGATGCATAAGCACATAGACGAGGTCACGCCAACATTAGTTAATAAATATTGGATGAATTTCAATATGAAGCATTCCCCCACTTGTGGGATTTTAAGTTTTGAACTATCACCAACTGATGAAGGGTTTCCCTTTACTGTTTTGCAAAATATACACCGTGTAATTCAAATAGGCTAAATATACACAGTAACCCTCATAACAAAACATTCTTCCACTGGCCCCCTCAGGTAATAAAGATGATTTTGGGTTTGGCAATAAGGAAAAACGTTTTTTATCTTTGAGGAAAACAGACGGCTTTATGAAACAAGTTTTCTCGTAGGTAATAGGTACCATTTTTCAGCTGTCTAGCTTAGTCATAAGCACATGCGTTATCATGATGTTACATTACTATAGATACATGCCATTTGTCAATTTGAAAATAAACATCTGTGCTTCTTACAGAGCACACTTTATCCTTAAAGTGCTGGTGGTAACAATCAGGTAAACACAGAAGGGAAGGCCCTCTCAGTCTTGGTCCATCTCAGTTCCTGGGGCTGGGAATAAGAGAGTTTTAATACTGCCTTCTGTTCTTTCATGGCCTCCAGCAGGCACCACAGAGTACAGAGTTCTTCCCTCTCTGTTTTTACTTGGCACTTTGGGCAACCCCTGGGGCCACAGCCTAACACAGGCACAGAAACAAGAAAATTAGGTTGGAGGAGTTTTTTGAGAAAAGAAAAATAAGGTAACCTACATGTATATCTTGGATGCATTGTTGCTCAGTTCTTCACCCTATACTATCAGTTAGTCAATTTATATTTCAAGCCTTCCTGAATAGGATTGGCAGCATCTTCCATACTTACACAATACTGACAAAAGACCTCCAAATCCACTGGGAAGTCTGCATTGCCTTTCAACTCATTTGCATAATCGCAAACCTCCCAGTCTAATTTAATGTAACTACCCAATAATAAACTTTTGATACTTGCTTATGAAAGAAATCTCATGCATGACTAAAAAGCTGCCACTCCTACTGAAGATAGGTGTAATTTACCTTAACACTAATGTGAATATGTCAATTAAATGGGGGTAGACAAATCAAAGCAGCTTGTACATCATGACAGAAGTCATAGAAAGCCTCAGAATACCAGAATATCTGCAAAGGAATTTGCACTGTATTACTCATTGCTATGCCAAGTTGGAAATTTAGGGGAAGGAATCATCAACAAATAGACATAAAATGTAACTTATATGAAAACAGATTCTCACAACTGCATTAAAACGACATGCGAAGCCAAAAGCATAACGGAGGGCAAGGAAGAATGCAGGCAGACCTACTGTTCTAAATGAAATCAATGGGAGCTCTGCCATCAGTTTGAAAACACAAGCAAGAACTGGCCAGAAGATCATGAGGCAATTCAGCAGACATTCTCAGGACATCTGAACAAAAAGCCCCTAAAATGTCTCAGTACAAAAGCCACAAATTAAAGGAAACTGCCAGTTCCAGCTTAGTAAGATTATTTGATGCAGTGTTCGGTAAAGACAATATGCAATGGAAAATCATAAGAAAAGGACAATTATGTCTGTAAGATAGCTGTAATTAAGAACTGTCCATTTAAGTAGCTTAAAATAGCTTAAAATCCAGTTGCTGACAGAAAAGCTTTATGGTGAACATCCTAAAAATAAAGTGGGTAAGACTGTGATAATACTGATGTTTATCACTAGAAGCCTACTTAGTGTTACAGTCTCTTTATGAAAACAAACTTGATCAAAGTGGCATATAGTAAGATCTTTGTTACATTCTCAAACTTCAGGGTTTTTGTTGTGAAAATATACAAAAATAGATAAATTGTATGCCTACATCTTTAGGTCAAGGTGAATTTGGTAGTAAAATTTTAAACAGTCCATCTACTATGTCTGATAAGATATGTAATCCATGGCTGTGAAATTGACCCTGGACATTTAGAGCAATGTGAAGCACAGATCTTAAAGACTCATTGAGAAGTCAGTAAAGCTTGACAGTACACATTGGAAAAAATGATCCTTTAGTAAGTTATAAGTTGCTGGGGGAGAGGAATTAAAATCACTACACCGTGAATACAGACACAGCTTGGAAAAGCCCCACCCTATGACATCAATATACCCTACTGTAGACTACATATGTGCAGTAGAGAATAATGTTATTTCTCCTTACACATAAAGGCCAATCTACTGAACCCCAGTGAAAAAATTAAAGTTCTTCCTTTTAATCTTTTTCTCCTTTGTGCAAAAATAAAGTGCTTACCAAAGGCTATTTGGAAAGCAACACTGTCTACTACACAGGGACTGTCCTAAAAGTTTCATGTTAGTGAAAAATTTAATCTCATACAAAAAGCGTGCAAATACACATTTAACAGCAAACTATTTTATAAGTGTTTAAGGTAAAGTTTTTAGTCTGTTTTTAATCCTTTAATAATAAAGGATCCTTTTTTTAAAGAAGAAATGTCAGTATTCTGAAATGGATACAGTTTGAAAGACCAGAAACACTGAGTATAAATAGTTCACTAAGCAGAACGTACTGAGAAACAACTGAAAATGTGTGGAAAGAAAACAAGTCTGTAGCAGAGCATATAGAGCCAGAAAAAAAATTGTGATCGTTCAAAGTATGTCCCAGAAGCGGCACTGGCATCACACTGTACAAACCCTGCACATGAAGGCCCCCAGCAATTCTGAACATCTTGGTTGTTTGACATATTTTAGTTGAATTATATTTACCATCCTCTGCAACAGCATGGACCTGAAAAACACATCTCTAAGTGATGCCGCTAAGTTATCAATATGTGAATTGATTCAGGCTGGCATAAGAAGTTACTCTGAAGACCTGTCTGGAATACCAGCAATAACTAAAGAGGAACAAATGACTTGAGCACTGTTCTGTGATTGCCCATACTGTTTAACAGTTTGCACGTTCCATAGCCATGCCAGCAGCACTATCCAGACAATGCTTGGATGTGGTTCAGGAAGCATATAGGCTGTATATCACTCTCAACAGATATGGACAAGGCCACCAGTTTTGGAGCAACTGGAAAGAGTGGAAAAGAGGTAAAGTCTATGAATATTAGTCTTGCTCTTATATTTAGTTTGGCATATTCTGCTTATTAACATGACACAGGCACTGTGTCTGCACTGATGTTATGACCTCCCTGTATCATAATGGCTGTCTCTGCATCCAAACAGTCATCTAGCTCAATTTCCTCATCACAGCTGGGGCAGATTAAAATCCAAACAATGAATACAAGTCAGAGACAGAAGGTAATTTAAGAAGGATGTCAAGTTCTCAAAACGGCAGGATTACCTGCAGGACTAGCAGAGAAGAATAAAACTATTAAAATCACTTAAAACAATTACAACATTAAACTCAAGTCTGTTAACTTGCAAGGGAGAAGTGAATGCCCAGTTCTGTCAAGGAGCTGAGAACATGTACCCTCCAGAACTTCACAACCTTTTCCTCACCGTGCAACAAGTATAGGTCAGTTTTTAAAGCAGCAATATTTAAATATCTAGAAAAGAAAATATAGGCCTTAGATCATTGATATTTTGAAGGAAAGTATAAGGGATCACAGAGAAAATTCACTCTATCTTGAGCAAAAAGGACTTGCTAGAGCATTAAACATACAACTTTTTGTCGTTAGTATTGAGTAAAACCCAGGTAGAGAAATTAAAGGAAAAGAGTAGGTAGAACAGTCAAGGATGCCTACTTATAACTTGGATATTAACACATATAGAAGGTACAAAGACTATTTCAGGTGAAATACAGTTACTTCTGGGACAAAATGTAGCAGCTTTTGAAGCAGTTCCTATATTCATAAATCAAAGACAGCAAGTGAAAATCTTTTACGCACACACATACACACTCTCAAAGGTCTGAGATAGAAAAATATTAATACCTAGCAACACACACCTACCTGGAGGCTAAAAATGAACACTTACTTTTCTTTTCATCTATGTATCTTTCATTTTCCTCCTCTTTCCATTTAATTTATACTCTGAAGAGCACTTTCAGCTTAAGCTTTGTAGAAAACAAGCTCAAAGCCAACAGCATTCAAGTCAGACCTCCATCTACTGCATTATCTCATTTTCCCTTCTGGTTTTTAAAGCAGAAGCTGAGCAGTAATGGCATGATGATTAGCGTCTCTTCAAGCTACATTCTTGTATCACTCAAAATCAATTCTCAACAACAAATGTTTACTATTCCTTAGATTAACAATTATCCAGAATATAATACCATAAAAAAGCATATTTCTTAAAAGTCCTTCACTTGATTTTTGACCTTTGTACTAATTGCAGGTTTGGAATTACTTACTTCTAATAAGATATTGTTTGCATCTCTGTAGTCAATTTATTAATCATTCATAGAACCACTTACCAAGTAATTAATGATGTAAAATTTGTCATATTCTTTGTTTTTGGCATTGATTCTGCGATGCTGCTTCTTTCTCATGTGATCTTTAAGTGTGTTTTTGTCTCTGAAGACTTTTTCACAGTATAAACACTGCAAACTGAGATAAAAAGGTTGAGGTCCACACGTTAAAATAAAACCAGTACAAGATAATAATCTTAGATCACAGGAGAGTCAAGCAAACACAGGGATGACAAAAATAACATAAAATAGAAAAATAGATAATATAAAAGTTTACTGTTTGCCCCACATACAAATTGAGAGAAAAGTCTGGTCACCCAAAATTGTCCTACCAATGCACAGGAGGGACACTGGCTGTTCAACATGTAAACTCTTAGCTCAGCATGCACTTATACTGGCATCCAGCCCATCAGCAGCTGTGTATTTATAATTCAGAGTGAGAAACCCCGAACTCTGAATGTACTACATAGCTTTAAAACCAATTTAAATCAGCTGAACAGGAAGTTTGATATTTCTAAGTCAACGGAGAGACTAAATGAAAGTTCGCCAGGGTGAGCAATGGGTTTTGAAAGCCTGAGAAATTGAATTTAGTAAATAAATTCTTCCATACGCACACACATATGTGTATATTTTAAAAATAATTAATATCTATGTAGATATATGAATTATTCAATATATATACACAGTACTTGAGAATTTGAACACATTCATTAATGAATGACAATTTTACCACACTTAGGTCTTCCAGAACAATTTAAACAAAATAGAAGTATATGTGCTGTCTTAAATTCTCTGTTACAGTACTATAAAATAATTGTTCTCTCCACTGCAGTATCAACTAACACCTGCATGCTGATCCTATAAAGGATTAGGTCAAATCTCCAGGCTCAGAGAGTGGTCTATAAGGACAGTAATCTGCATTTCAGCCTAAGTGGGTGATTCTCCCTGAAATAGAAGATGGTCTTTTTTTTTTTTTCCTGGCAGAGACGTAGCAGAGCCCTGAGCTTATAGAAACATCATTGTTAATGGATGCAGGTCTTGAGCCTCTGGCTAGCCAAGACATAAAAACAGTTTTCTTATAAGCGATGGTTTACATGTCCTACTAAGATGGAGGCAGGTACTTGGGCCATTTGAAAAATTATCTCCATGGAGGGATTGGGAAAACCCCTAGAAAATAATTCCTCATGAAATAAAAACTATGTAACTGTGGCATTTTATAGAATCACAGAATCATAGAATAGTTAGGGTTGGAAAGGACCTTAAGATCATCAAGTTCCAACCCCCCTGCCATGGGCAGGGACACCTCACACTAAACCGCGCCACCCAAGGCTTTATCCATCCTGGCCTTGAACACTGCCAGGGATTGAAGCATTCACAACTTCTTTGGGCAACCCATTCCAGTGCCTCACCACCCTAACAGGAAAGAATTTCCTCCTTATATCCAATCCAAACTTCCCCTGTTTAAGTTTTAACCGATTTCCCCTTGTCCTGTCACTACAGTCCCTAATGAAGAGTCCATCCCCAGCATCCCTATAGGCCCCCTTCAGATACTGGAAGGCTGCTATGAGGTCTCCATGCAGCCTTCTCTTCTCCAGGCTGAACAGTCCCAACTTTCTCAGCTGATCTTCATACGGGAGGTGGTGCAGTCCCCTGATCAATATATATATATTTGATCATTATCTTTGTATTGGAGATACTGGCAGCAGGAAAAACAATGGGATGGGAGGGTAAATGACAGCACTTTAAGACACAAAACACATGGATTTTTTTAAAAGAGCAGTGTCTCTGAATTTAAATTATTATTACTTTTTTCTTCCCTTTACAGACAGATGAAAGCTTGATTGTACAGTCAGAAGGAATTTTAACAGTGCCTGGGTCAGATCTTTCTGTGATTTCCCCAGGGTTTAAGATACAGGTGGTGAAGAACACAATTATTTTCTTACTCAAGCATTTGCCCCCACAAAACCCATTAATATTGTGCCTAGAAGGTCTGTGCCTACACCCTGAAAAACCTCATACTTCTTCAGTAAAGGTATATTCAGATTCCTCTCAGTTCTTGTGTGTGGAGCAACAATTCAGGATTCTCAGTATCTTTTTGTCTTCCAAGAACTGCTGTAACATTTACACGCTTAAGGAAGTTTTGAGTTCTCCTTGTGCTTTGTTGGTAATCATAGGTCCTATGGCAGAACACATTTTATATATAAAATATATATATAGTTTAGATTTATAGAATCATAGAATCATAGAATAGTTAGGGTTGGAAAGGACCTTAAGATCATCAAGTTCCAACCCCCCTGCCATGGGCAGGGACACCTCGCTCTAAACCATATCACCCAAGGCCTTGTCCAACCTGGCCTTGAACACGGCCAGGGATGGATCATTCACAACCTCCCTGGGCAGCCTATTCCAGTGCCTCACCACCCTAACAGGAAAGAATTTCCTCCTTATATCCAATCTAAACTTCCCTGTTCAAGTTTTAACCCATTACCCCTTGTCCTATCACTACAGCCCCTAATGAAGAGTCCATCACCGGCATCCCTATAGGCCTCATTCAGATACTGGAAGGCTGCTATGAGGTCTCCACACAGCCTTCTCTTCTCCAGGCTCAACAGCCCCAACTTTCTCAGCTGATCTTCATATAGGAGGTGCTCCAGTCCCCTGATCATTATATATATATTTGATTTTATATGTTATATATCTAAACTCTATACATTTTAGTATTTGCTTTGCTCCACCTGCTAACAGTAAAATGTTTGCTCTATTTGTGAAAGGCAACCCTGGAAGAATACTTAATTCCTCAGCACATACAATGTAGTCACGCTATTTGCCTGAAACAAGATTTTTTTCTCCTCTTAATAATATTTTCAGGCACTGTTTTATTAGCACAGCTATGAAGTCCATTCTTAGCAGTAGGAGAAGTGGCCTTTCAGTGCTTTGGAAGTAATTTAAGCATGTGTATTAACTACAGAGAGGATTTGCTTTGAGAAACCTCCTTCCAAACAAAAGCCTAGGTCCTACTGATAAATAGTAAAGCTGCAACTTAGCAGTGAGTGTGGTAACTCACTGCATTGGGCAACACCAATGGTAAAATATATTCTCAATAAAACTTCATTTCTGGAGAAAGTTAACATGTATCTATTGTGACTGCACATTCTTTGTCAAGCCAAAGACTAAAATTGAGAGTCTGTTGCCTTTTCCATCCTTCGAAGCTTTTATTTTATTTCCTTCCTCCGTAACCCCAGATGTACAAATGAATGGATCCTAAACTGACTTGGAAGGCTGTTTAATCTAATTTCCACATCCTAATTTTCACAGATCCAAGTGTTCTGTGGCTTTCATAACTAAGCCTAAGACTTAGGCAAATTTCTTGTACAGTCTGATTACAGACCGTATTAAAATCTGCTAAACTTGTTAAAGCTAGTTTGACTCTTAAAGAAGTAAATTTTCAGCTAGGGCTCAGTTTATATTTGTGGCATGCTTCTTATTGTCCCATTTACGAAATCTATCAAGGGTACTTAGATACTTGCAAAGGAAACTTGAAGTAAAGAGTTTCTTGTTCTTTGCTACCTACGGTTTTCTCCCAGATACACTTTCTAACTTCTTCGGCCATCTCAGGTTTATGTGTTTCTAAGGAAGCATGTATGCTGGCTTTCTCCTGCTCTGGAATGTACTCTGTAAGCAGTAAAGGGAAGGAGAAACCATCCCATGTTATTGATATACAGAGTTGAACAAATATTGTTATAACAACTTTGTATTCAGTGATTAAAGAAATGTTTAGCAAAAAGACTGCGATAAGAAGAACATTAACAACTATGAGAAAAAGGGATGTGCTATTACTGATGTCAATTCAATGCGTAACAGCTGAAGCTTTGTGCTTTCAAAGGATTAAAAGAAAGCCTTCTAAAGAGCACTCACAATAAACTTATGTTCTCTGTTTCTTCTTAACTAATTATGAACGTTGAATTAAATTTAACCCAACTTATTTCCAAGGTAAAAAAAAAATGACCTAAGTCCATTAACACCTCCCCCCCAAAAAACCCAAATAAAACACTACTTACTTGTCAAGCTTCCCCTGCAATACGGCTAAAAACTCACAACAATTCACAATGTTATCTGGCAGCCCAATGTTAAAAGCATGCTCCCTTGCCATATGATTGAGAAGGACAGATCTACAAAAGACATAACAAAATGTTGTATTCAATTAGTGACTCTAAATACACAAATTGCTCAAAAAACGCATAAAAGCCAACATTAACTAAACAATAATAATGTCGCTGCCACTGCTAGAAAAAAAGAAAGCAACTTTATTAAAATAAGTTTTCAATTTCAGCTCTGCTCAATGTTCAGTAACATTTCAACCACTTATTCTATGCGCATAAATAATATCTTTTAAATGAAAATTGCAGTATATTTTGACCATCACTGTCATTTATTAACTTGAATGAGCAAATCACACGATTCAACCAACTATCTTAAGAAACATTCTAAAAAGGCATTTTGTTTTCTCTGTGCTAGTTAGCAGAGCGGAAATCCTTGGATGCGATATGCTTTTACATCAGCATTGCTTCACACAGCAGCACCAATGCAAACAGCACTCACAAGTACACACAAACAAACATCATGGATGTTCAAATAAGGTATTTTCCTAATAGAGATATATTGGTTAATTCTTTATGTGCCCAACACCTCTTTATGCCTTGGCTTCTGCTTTTGAGGACTCAATACCCAAGTGTTGACACTGCTAAGCCTTGCTTTTATCACAGTTCAGGTGTGATTTTCAAACAACCTGTCAGACCCAATAAGCAGAGGATGAAGTTCCAGGGCTGAATAATGTGAACTTCACTACAACAGTCAGTGAAAAGGATTGGATGCTCACACCACACTGGGGTAACCTGTGCGGACATGATCCTGGGTCCTTCTACCTTTCCAGAGTACCACAACTAGCCAAGCAAACACACATTCAAAGAAAAGACTCAGCCTTTCCAGCTGAAACTGATTTATCTGTATAAAGAAAGTGTCTTTGGAATAAGCACTTGAATGGAATTCAGGCTTGCATTTGACTGATGCTGCAAAGCACTCCAGTCTCTAGTTTTCCATTCTAATTTTCTAATTTGATATTTGAATTCACACTGGTTTGGTGAAGTTTAAATATGAAAATATGCAACTAGATAGAAACATTTTGTAATAGCCATACTGGCTTAGGTAGCTCTCCTTGCCACTATAACAACTGCTAAAAAACTGTCTATCTTTAAAATGGTTCAGTTCCCAACTCCATCTTGCTGGGTAGTATAAAGAGTTGCACTGGAATAAATAAAAAAATTAAGAAGTAGGTCGGGGTTTATTTAAAATGGCATTGCAGTTGAAAGAAACACTTAAACTATACCCTTAATTCTAACATTAGGCACTAACTGGTTAAATGCCATCAAAATCATAAACAAAGATGCTAAGCACATAGGAAAAAAATCAAAAGCAAACAGGTAAACAAACCAACCTGTTTCCTGTGAATTCTTGATCGCAGAACATACACATACTATGGAAACTTGTGTCATCTCTCTCGCGCTGTTGCTGTTCCAGAACTTCTCTCTATGAAAAGAATCAGATACAGTCATTCAGAAAAAATAAGAATCATTCCGTAACATAAACTTATTTTACCTCTTTATCTGTACTGGTAACAATGAACTGATAAAATTAAAATGTGCTGCTGACAGAAACCAGACATGAGTATTTTATAAGTGTGGGTTCTCACAAAAATGGCAGTTTTTCAACGGCAGTATGTGCTCCAGTCAAGTGCTAGGAAAGTTCTCCTAATATTTTACAAGAGGCATGGAAAGAAACACAATCCTCATTGAGATTTTATGCATCTATTTAAATAATTCTGCATGCAAAATGTCAGTTTATTGTTTCTACTTACGGTTCAGATTTATCTTCAGAATCAGTGAGCAAATTATTTGGCAACCACATAGGACCTAACAGAATGATAAACTCAATTTTACATGGCTAATTGCAGGTCATCTAGATAATACAGGACTGAGGATGAGCCCTGGCAGTTTCTGTGCGACATCCTAAACTCAGAATAAGCTGATTGCCTTTACCACTGCTCCTGTTTAATGTAGAGCAACAGGCCAGGCAGCTTTACAACACCTGACACTATTTTCCTACCAACAAAAGCATGCAGCAGATGATTTTCTCTGATGCTGTAACAGCAGCAGTGTAGTTATATTGTGGAATTACTGTATACTTCAGATGGAAAGGCCATAATCATCTGGGACAAGGGACAATCGCTGTTTGGATTAAAACAGCATATTTTCAGCCCAGTAGTACACTACCCTGTACTTGTGTTTTAAGTACTAATAATTGGTAAAGGATTTATTTCCTGTGCAATGTAGAGATGCTACCACCAGCTCTCTGACATTTGGAATCCTGACTGAATATCTTAGGGGATTCTCTGAATCTCTTTATCTCCTTAGAGCCTGCAACAGTGGAGATTTGTTTCTCACCTACCTCTTTAGTATACTTTTGTGTGGATTAAGACCCAAATTTGCCCATAGTCTACAGCTAAATTCAGCTATGCCTGTTGGATAAGCTCCATAAAAAGCAGAAAAGAAAGCAAAGAAAAAAGAAAGCAAAGAACCCCCTTTCCCAAAAGAAGAAGGCTTGAGCAATTGTCATTACAGGTCATGCAGCATGGACGGGCTGGTGTGGGTCAACCACACCACATCCTGCTGCCCCCAGCTCAGAGACGGCAGGTGGCTGATACTGAGCAAGTAAGTGTTCTGTTGGTTTCTCCTAAAACAGAGCAGCACACTATCCAGAGAGGGGCAGTGGGATGAACAGGATGCCTGCTGGAGAGTGTGGGAGCATGCCCACCTGAGCTACATTTGGCCCAGGGCCAGTGGCTGCTGTGGGGGATGAGCGCACTGTGCCATAGCCTGTTTTAGGGCCCCACATTCACCCCCACAATTTGCAAACTGTAGCTGTTGCACATCAGATAAGAGTCTGTTACCCTGAAAATGCAGATCTCAAGGCTTTTTTGGATGTTTTTGTACTACAAGGTATATATTTGAGGTTAGAGTCATGCTCAGCAGTGCTTACCTACTCAAATTTTAGGTCATATCCACTCATGTCCTGCTGCATTATACAAAATGTCAACTAACAGAAATATAAATTCCTATTTTTCAGGGCTGACTCTCAAGGGAGATAAATGGAGCATAACACATTTTGTGAGAGGCACAATTAAGCAAGGATATGTGTCTACTCCACATGGGCAGTGAACATCCCACAGCATGCCAGTATGAGCTGGTACTCGTAGCTGTCACCTCTCTCCACTCAGCATGTCTGACCTTGTTTGATTAACCTTGAATGTGAAAGCATCTGTGTGTAGTTTATACATTTTGTAAAACACACTAGAAACGGCCTAAAAGAAAATCAAAATATTTCAATTCAAACATTAAGATAGCAAGGGTTTAACCCCCATCCTCCCATTAGAGATATTCCAATGTAGCTTCCCAATTGTACTCTACTAGGAGGGAAAAATCCCCCATGTTCTTCACTATCTGGCTGCCTAACCCCAGATTCTCACCTCATACAACCTGCTTACTGGAGCCCTGGTGAGCTGCAGCTCCCAGTTATGCCTGAAGGGGAAGCACACTGTATCCCCCCACACTGAAGGTGCTCCTGCTACTCTCCTTTTTCACCCTTCCCATTTCCCTCCCACCAGCATGCTTGACAGCTGGTAAACTCTGACTAACCCAGCATCGTTGTTCTACCAATTTACTCATCAGGGATTAAAAAATATTTTCCAAGGTGGACACTCCCTTTACTGAATGTTGGCATCCTTCATTGCTGGAGGGAACTTCCGAAGCCAGAAAGCGAATCTGGTACTCACACAGGTGAGGAGTTAGAAGCACTGTTTCAAGTAAAGTACAGCAAAAGCCAGAGGGCTGCTCTTCTCCCTACAGACATTCCAACCCTTCACTTCACTGCTGAGACTCTGATGGGAGAACAGCAATTACAATATTTGCATAAAACTTGAGGTTTTTCTGAGTGGAGACTTTCAGGTGGTAATAAAAGCTTAAACTGAAGCTATGAGGCAGGAAATGAGTAATTTACTTCAATACCTGCACCAGTTACCCACTCCTTTGAACTTTTAGGGATGTTAGCAATAATTCATGGCTATAATAAGACAAAAGTACCCAAAACATTTCAGCCATGAAGATTTTCCAAACCTTCTTAGGACACTGTGTTGTATCAAAGTGTCAGAGAAGGACAGGACAAAGTCATTTGAGGAAAAAAAGCACGTATGTTATTTTTCTTTTGAAACAAATGAAAGAATTACGCATAGTCAGGAAAGCTAATCCAAAACACTAAAAAAAGTGTTTATATATACCAGGATGATCATCTTTAAATATACCAGCACATTAAATTGCTAATACAGAAGAAATCTGATCGTTGGTACGACAGTTTGTAACCTGGAATGTAGAAAAATGCCCTGCACATTCACAGAGCTCAGTCTGAGGCTGCGAGGAATTCAGATTTTCTCCTAGAAGGTGGTAATTTAAAATGTGTCTGTAAAAAAAAATGTGCCTGTTCCTCTCCTGGGAAGCAATATTTTGGAAGAAATTACCCAGAAGTGCTCACACGCTATGCATCAGCAAGAATTCACACCGAAAATCAGTAAAGATGAAAAATGCATACTTGCAGCTAGTAAGCACTTTTCCCTAAACAATTACTTTGTCTCTGGTCTGCAGCTCAAGAGACATTCAAGAAATACAAAGTATCTTCAAAAGGCAAGAGTAAAACTCCACCGAGTGACAAAAGGTATGGACTCAGGACAGTAGGCTTTATGGCACATGAGACTTTTCTGATACTGTAATTCCTGTCACCCTTCCCTCCAACAGACACTGTATCCCAGGTGCTAAATTAGCTTTCCTTATTGCTGTCACTGTTGGTTTGTTTTTTGTCATAGACTCCTTCCTTTATTAACAAGGCCCTCATAAATAATTAACATAGCCATTTAAATGCATGGCTTGGACCACTGAGCAACCATTCTCAACTTGTACTCAGCACAAGCTTTGCTGAGTACAAGTTTGATTATACTCAGCAACTGGAAGAAAGAACTAGTGGTCACCATTTTGCCTGCTTTTTTCCATCTACATCAGTTGGCCTGACAAAAAAAACCCCAACACTTCCTTCTCCTGTCTCTTTTATAATCACAGCACTTCTAAGAGATAAGAAATTCAGGCGGAGAGTACTTCTCTAGCTTTAAGATAGAGGCAGATTGCACTTTGGGACAAGATCAGGCAGTGACTGCAGTGAGACCTGAACTTCCCATTTCTCAGTCCACAGACCTAATTGTGCAGTGGAGGTTGAATTCTGCAGTTCAGTCTGTAAAACAGAGCTAACAACAGTATGTGTCTTCTTTGCTTGTAAGATGTTCAGGACTAAAAAATAAAAATAAAAAAGAAATTACTGCCATAACGCAAAGTTCAAAGTTTCTATTCCAAACCCAAGTAATCTCAGACTATTGCATTTTAGTAGTGGCTTGACTGGGACAAGAACATTTTGTAGTTTGGGGTTCTCGCTGGCACCTGTCTTGCCAGTTCTGGTCCTTTGCTCTCATCCTCTCTAGGCAAGAGACTAGAAAGACAGTAGTTATACAAATGATCACTTAAGGTAAGTTCCAATGAAAGCTTTTTATAAATGGTGCTATATGCTCTGGGGAGGTGGTTTGTCTAAAGATGTTCCTTTGAAGAGGAAACTTCACAACTGTTACAGTGTGAAGGACTCAAACATTTGAGCATTCAGTCACACTGCTATGAAGAGTGCAGGATCACAGGCCACATTCCTTCTGTAATGATAATGGACTAATTCATACTACTGAAATCAGTGGGTCTGCCTGGGAAATGAGGTACTACCAGAAATAGCAATGTTATGTTGGTGTGAATTTTGATCTAAATATCATAATATAGAGACTTTACAATATGTGTTTTATCAAGGTCTCCTAGGTGATCTCTCAAATACAGTGTGTATTTTTAGCTGTAGTTTCTTCCAATTTAAATAAGAGTCCCATTTCCCTGCTGAGTGCTCACAGAAACCACCTATTGCTGTAGGCAAAGGAAGCAGGTAAAACATTCTGGTTTAAAAACAAAACAAAAAGATCATGCTGACAGTTTACAACAAGAAGCTGTTTATACCCTTTACTGGCAATAAAACAAACTAGCACACTACACTGAGACAAACACTAGGATTGGTAACACCTGAGATCCACTACTGTCTCTAAAAACTTGCCAAGCACATTATTGACAATTATATACACTGTTAGAAACTAGCTTTGGAGTAAGTTACATTTGGTTTTGTGCCTACAGTTGCCTCAAAGATTGATTGATGAGCTTGAGACTGTGCTTGTAGCTGCTAAATAGGAAAAATATTTATAAAGAGCCAGGGTATCAGAAACTTCATATCTTTGTAAAGACCTGCAATCTTATCCGTATCAGTAACTTGTCTCCTAACTTCTATATTCAGCTTCTCACCTTACTGATCTCCCACTTCAAACAGTACTCTCTCACCTCTTGAGTACAGAAAAAAAACCCAACTTCCATTTCTGTAACCATTTCCTCTCTGATGTTATCTCAAGAAGAATGCCTTTTCCTTAACATCATCAGAGATGCCTGTTGGAGAAGCACTTCATGAAAGAAACGTAGCTGTAAGGTATATGGAAATACAAGGAATTTGTTGGGATAGAACCTTTGGTCTGGAGAACACTCAACCCTTTTTAAGCCAGCTGTCACATCATCCAATGTACTTGTATTTGGTGACTATTTTGTGCACTTTTTCTCTCACCCAGTGATTATGAAAATTCATACACAGTTCAGGAATGTTATAAAAAGCCCCACTGGCTAGGCAAGCAAGACCAGCATGTCAAAGATTATAGTCTCTACGGAATGAAGGATGATGCCATCAGAGACCTACTTTTGGAACAAAGAAGAGAGGAAAGCAATGGGGCAGTGACCTACTGACATTCAAGAGATGGTTTTGAGCCTATCTGGTGATGAAGCTAAAAGCACCCCACTTCATCTGGTACATGCCGATTGCCCAAGTGGGCATTCCCGACGTCTATGTGAACAAGAATGAAGCAGAAAAAGGAACAGGTAGTCTTCCTGAATCTTTTTGGTTTAGTTCAAAGCACAGGCATAGATCAACATGTTCTGGAGAGGAATACATAGCTACGGAAACAAAATAGGGAGCATTTAAGAATATCATAATATGGCCAGGGAATAAAAGGCTACCCCTGACAAAGATGAGAAAGCGTACCTCAGGACATCAGCTTGTCAGCTAAGTGAGGAGACTTTAAACTAGGTTTGAAGATAAAGTAACAGAAACCCCAGAGAAAAATAAGATTTGTAGCATAGTGGGAAAACAGGAAATTGGGAAGAAAATGGTGGTGGGGAAACTGTAAGAACCCTGCCTCAGATTAAGCTTGTGACAAACTGGGGATCATACAAACAGCTCATCTTGGAAAGCTCGTATAGCTGTGTCCGTCTGAGTTTTGGTGAAGACTTCTCTTCAGGGTCTATTTACTGGGAGGAAGAACAGCCTCATCACTCGGAACTACCAGTCACATCACAAGAGAACAGCTGTAAACATGACAGTAAGACAAGGTCAGTGCTGTGGCAGGGAGTGCGTATTTAAATCTTAAAGACCAAGTACTTAGACTGACATTGCCCCCCCGGTATCTTGAGTTTTGCCACGAGCACTTCCTTTCCTTCACATCTGTGAGTTCTTTGTCCAGACTGTGTTTTTCCAAAAGACTGTATCTTTTTCTGTGTTACATGGCCTTGTCAGCTATTTCAGCAAGCTGTGCTCTCTAACCTAGTTCAGGCTCATTCCTTGGCCTCCCTCCATACATCACAGTCACCATAATGTCTCTGCACGACATCCACCTTGGCTAGCTCCCCTGCTGCAATACAGCCTGAAATATTCCTGAATCGGAGTTTCAAAATGGCAAATGAGATGGTCCAGCTAGCACATTTTAAAGACATTTGTCCTTGTTTGGGCTTGCTGTTGGAGATAGCAGTTAGGATCCAAAGGCTGCAGAAAAATCACCAAGAATTGTACAGTTCTGGTCTTTGTTCTGCGCAACTCACATGAGTCCATTTGCCAGCTCAGTCTTAACTGCTGGACTTGTCCAGAGGTAAAAGACTTTGCAAAGCAAAATAACTATTTAACTTGCAAGTCAACATTCAGATTGCAGCAAAATGAAATGAAAAACTAAACAGACATCACTGCTGTAACTAAAGCAGTGACTTCATTAGCCCAAACTACAGCTGCAGCTCGATTCCACAAAATCCTGCTGTAAAAACTGAAGATACAATTCTGATATTTAAACCAGTGTTAGTACCAAAGGCTATTTCACACCATCATAAGAATGCTAACTTAATTTACTCTGTAAATTAACTTCTCTAATTTAGTTACTCTGTAAACAAACACAGAACTTGCTTTGGGGTAAATCCTGCACTCTTTCCTGAATTTGAGAAAACATCTATGTGCAGAGATGAGACAGCTTACCTGCCAACAGACCTCACACTCCCTTGACACTGGTGGTGGATTGAAGGCCCAGTTGGAATAGGACTACACAGCACAAACCACCACAAACCCAGAAACAAATGCCCTTTAAATAAAGAAAAAGTACAGTCCAATATGAAGCAGCCAGGAGTTACTGTTACAACAGATAGTTCTATGAAAACATTAGCTACAGGTTCAAGCAGGACCTTCTTTCCCTCCTTAAAGCCACAAACAACATGATACATGTTTGAACATATATCATGTTGAACAGATTTGCTTGAACATATGCAGAACACCATTCTGACACTGCCTGCTCACATGCAATATTCAAGAGGTCTTTCAGAACCTCAAAGGGATGACGGGAAACTGGAAAAGGTACAGAGAAGTGCCATAATGATGCACAGTGAAGAACCATCAAATAGACAGCACCCGCAACCTCAAACCACTGAATCATTGAGGCTACAAAGGATCTCTTGGGAGCAACTAGTCCAATCCCAAGCAGGATCACCTTCAGCTGTTTACTGTGTCTAGCTGTGTTTTGAGTATTGCCACAGAGGAAGAGTCTACAACATCTCTGGAGAACTTGTTCTATTGTTAACCACCCTCACAGTAAATAAGTTTTCTTGTTTTCAAAGGGAATTTCCTGATTTTTAATTCCTGCCCATTGCTTCCTGTCCTGTTGGTGGGCACTGTGAGAAGAATCTGATTCCCTCTTCTTCATTCTCATCAAGCATTTATACACAGTGATAGGATTCCCCTTGAGCCTTGTCCTTCAGGATAAGATAGTGAACTAGACAAACCTTTTTTTTACTAATCCAAGATGACTTCTCCTACAATGGAAGAGAAGCATGTTAGGCATGAGTGCATCAGCTGTTTTTTCTGAGTCCATGCCAATCCAATGGACCTACACAGAAAAGATTTCAGCTGAGGCAACTCCATGGGAAATCCTCAGCAGCAGAACTACCAGAATTCTCCTTTGCTGGAGGGCTGTGTACGACCTGTACATATTCCACTGGTTCTGGGAATTTGCCAGTCCTGTACTGTGAGCTGTAGAACACTCACAGGATAGTTGAACTAAATGGATTTTATCTGCAAATCTCAATTTTCCTGGGGACTAGAATTTGTTTGTTGTAAGCATCTCTTTCCTTGTGAATGCTTATGATTTAAGGTGTCTTTAGTTGCATGCTGTAGTACATATAGACTTGTAATAGAAACATACTACAAGAAACAGCATAACAAAGGGTTAAAAGGCCTGTGTTGACAATTCCCAGGACAGAGCTGCCAGCAGTAAATTGAGGAAGATATTTACGCAAGGACCATAAGGCCTGTACTCTAATACCTCACAGTGCAGATGACTTGCCAGCAGAAGACCTCGTCCAAGGAGACTGGTAACAAGGCTGCTATGAATCACATAACACTCATTTTTAAATTAGCACAACTGCAAAACCACACTACGGATGCGTATATCAAACGAGAAAACAACAAAAAATCCCCAGTGATCAGCAACCTGCACTAAGACTCACGGAAACTGAAGTCAGCAAGAGCTTAACATGAAGGACCACACATTCAGAGCTGACAGCTACTAAAAGACACAAGAGGTCTGTCCAAAGCACAAGGTTGCCACCACCAAGCAAGAAGAACAAGAGCAGTTCCTGAGGTCTCAACAGCTGGCATTTCTCGTCCTTTGCATCTCATAGAAACAGTCCTGGTCAGACTTCCTCCACTCACACAATGTGGTGCTTTTGAGCATGCGAGTGTGAATGAAGGAAATCTGGGTAACAGAGTGTGAATGCACAAAAACAACTTGCTTGAAGATTCTGTAAATTTAAGTATCACCTTCTCTTTCCACAGTATCACACACTGAGTTTTATTTTGCTAATTTCCCTGCATTTATATTATTTTACAAAAGACAGCGTGCCAGTGCATTGCAGATGCTTGCAAGAAGAAAAATGTTCAGCACACTCAGCCTTTTTCAGTGCTCTGGGTTTATTCTCCACTTGTGCGGAGCACTGACTTACAATCTTTAAATTTATTCCAAGGAAAAAATCTATAAACAAGGAGTTTGTGTATGTTTGTGCAGCAGCTAGGGAAAAGAGCTTTAAAAAAATATATAAAAATCAGGATTTTGCAGTTTAGCAAAAAGATGTTTTCACTTTAAAATGCCCACTAAATTACCATATATTGCATTATGGAACTGGTCACCTCAAAAAATGCGACAATAGTAATTTCTTACCAGTCTCTTCTGCTGAAGCTGTTCTCTAAGTAATCTGTCTTCTGGTAAAACATCACATAGAAGAAAATAATTATCCTGTTCTTCTGTTAAGAGATTAGGAAGTGTGGGTAAGGGATGAGAATTTGAGCTGCTTTGAATATTTCAGGCACACGATTTGCTAAACCTTTGGAATGTGTTAAGAATGTAAGACTGTGGTTTTTAATCTGTAAAAGTCATAATTTAATGAAACATGCTTAAATATTTGTATATACATAGCTATAAGATCTTTACATCATTCATATTGCAGTACAAAGACAGAAGTCTTGTATAGACCTTCTCTAGCACCAGCTTTATTCTTTCTTATTATGGTTCTTCTGGAGACATTAAGCAATTTTAATTATTTACATTGGTTACAGTATAAAGTCAGCGTGAAAGAAACATGAAATCACCTTTAGTTTTACCTTGTATGTGGGATTTTTCAGTTATATCCCAAAGTTACTGTCAGTTTTCAGTAGTTACCATTTGGTATACCCTCCCTCCTTACCCTGACTGATCATGTTACCATGATCACTTTTGCCACCTCGTTTACCATCTGCATCACAACTGCTTAGTAATACACATTGAGACTTGTCTAATTTACATTTCTACTTCCATTTTACCCACATTTCATGTTAAGTAACCTTTTTACTATTTACGTTCATATATAATTTAATAATAAATCTTATTCAAATAAATTACTTTAAAATTACTCAGTATGTAAAAATATGTAAATGCACTTAATATTTTGCATTTAAAAGTTACTCTTTGTTAATCAAAGGGTTATGAGGTTGGTGAACTGAAGTGTCCATTAGTACATCTCTTACAATTTAAACTTGCCAGATTTCAGCCTTTCTCATCTTTTTTTCCCATCTTTTGCCTGGGTGACGACAAACCCCCTGATTTCTGAGCTATCAAATTTGAAGGAGCTAGACATTAAAATCAATGAATTTATTATAAAGAATAATTTAATAATTTAAAATGTAATATAAGTTAATAAATTTATTAATAAACAGATAACAAAGTATTGTAATTTTCCTCTGACAGGGCTATCGATAGCTCTGGCATTCAGGCACTCGGTCTGCAATAAGGCAAAATTATAAATATGTAAGAGAAAAACAACTATGGTCTTTGGAGTAACTTTCACGCTTTCTAGGGCTTTTTTTCTAAACCTTAGTTTGCATAATGACAACAACAACATTTTGTACCCAGTTTTCACCTTCCACCCATCTCTGACACTGGCTGCATACACTTATACTTCTCTTTCAGCTCTCCATGGAGAATTAAAGATGCAGCAAAGCCCTAGTGTTCTCCTATCTGTTTTTAGGCAAATTATATTTTCTTGTTATAAAAGGGGGAGGCAAACAAATGTTATCAGCTACTTCTGAGAAATAGTCACTTCACACAGTCATATCCTTAGGATGGAATGTCCCACTGTGCCAATGCACCAGAATGGTGAAGTATGGTCTTTGGTCTTGTGCTGGAACCCCAAAAATGGCAGTCTTTGTATCCCTGCTGTTGAGGTATTGTCTCCTAATACTCTTGGAACAGTAAGCTCTATGGCAAGGGAGAGGAAGGGTGACTTGTGGCCCTGATGTCCAGGAAGAGTTAGCAGAATCAGTGGGGGTGGTGGACAGGGTGAAGTCAGAAAGCCCCAGAAAACCAGGAATGTTTCTCCACATTTCTGGAAGGACTGTCACCAATTACTGATGCAGCGGGTACCAAAGTTTCCCCGGCCATGATATAAGCCATACTGATTATAGGTCTTGATTTGCAACTGGCCTCAGCTTGGCAGCTCACTTAAGCATGTACTGAGTTCATCCTCACTCAACACAGTGCTGAAACACGTGTTGCAATCCTTGGAAAAGATAAGTTTAAATATGTGGTTAAGAGTTAAACATTAGTCCTGTGGTTTTCTGACCTAGTGTCAGATTTCCTCACACTTGGCTGATCAGAGCAGCAGTATATGCCAGAAATTATCACATGATCTGGAGAGCAGAGAGTAAGCAAGCAGCAGACTTACCTAACGGAGCTTCCGAATTTGTTCTTATTACGCTACAAAAATCTGTGATGGGCTGTTCTGCAAACCTCTTCTTCCAGTACAAGATGTATCTTTGACAATAAGGGAAAGATGATTAGTGAAAAAGGAAACATCAAAAAAGGTTTAATAAAGAGTTGATTGCCTCTGTTTTTTTCCATCCTCTAAATTCTTCAGTTTAATGTTTTTAATTCCTGTCTCTGTTTTTAATTTATTTATTTTTCACAAGCATTAAATTCATTCAGCTTCATTAAAACTGGGTTTAACTATCCTGCCACAGTGAAGAACTCAATAAGCCGGATTTGCATTAAGCTTCACATAAATACTGTGGCCTATTCCCATCTTCAGACAGAAGCTGGCACTCAGACGTATGCTTACTGAAAAGTTATACTACAGAGTACTCTCAGACTCCAAACGTATTGTGCTTTGTGTTCTGCAACATGCAAGCAGGAACCTGAAGCTCAGTAAAAATATCAGCTCGTCAGAAGTGAAGTTCTGGCAGGTCTCCTGTGGAGTTACAGTGAAAGCTGTAGCTTAGCAGACAACTATGTAGACAGAAAAATAAAATCCCCAAACACCTGGCAATGGGATAGCAGACAGATAAGAAAAGCCCTAAACACATCTTGAAGGTTTAATCCATCAACTACAGTTGTTTAAAAACATGATTAGAATCACAGAATCATAGAACAGTTAGGGTTGGAAAGGACCTTAAGATCATCAAGTTCCAACCCCCCTGCCATGGGCAGGGACACCTCACACTAAACCATCTCACCCAAGGCTTCATCCAACCTGGCCTTGAACACTGCCAGGGATGGAGCATTCACAACCTCCCTGGCCAACCCATTCCAGTGCCTCACCAACCGAACAGGAAAGAATTTCCTCCTTATATCCAATCTAAACTTCCCCTGTTTAAGTTTTAACCCATCACCCCTTGTCCTGTCACTACAGTCCCTAATGAAGAGTCCCTCCCCAGCATCCCTATAGGCCCCCTTCAGATACTGGAAGGCTGCTATGAGGTCTCCACGCAGACTTCTCTTCTCCAGGTTCAACAGCCCCAACTTTCTCAGCCTATCTTCATACGGGAGGTGCTCCAGTCCCCTGATCATCCTTGTGGCCCTCCTCTGGACTTGTTCCAACAGTTCCATGTCCTTTTTATGTTGAGGACACCAGAGCTGCACACAATACTCCAAGTGAGTATACTCCAATATGATACTCCAAGTGAGGTCTCACAAGAGCAAGGTAGAGGGGCAGGATCACCTCCTTTGACCTGCTGGTCACTCTCCTTTTGATGCAGCCCAGGATACGGTTGGCTGTCTGGGCTGCAAGCACACACTGCTGGCTCATGTTCATTTTCTCATCAATGATATTGTACTATCGTTGTTTGTATTACAGCAGCAGCAACTGACCAGACCCCAACTGAGCTAAGAAGCTACTGTCTAACCCAGAAGAAATCATCACCTTAAATTATATGATGAAGGGAACCAAGCCATCCTTATGCTAAATACTTAGAATCTTACTATTAAAGAAAAAAAAATATCTGAAAATGCTTAAGTGCATGCTTATATTTATACTTATGACTCATGTGCATGATATAAATCATGGGAGAGTCAGTAAGGTAAAGGTTAACTACTCAGCAACAACTTGCTATTGACAAGCCATCAAATTAGTCAAAGAATCAGAAAAAAAAATCAGATATTGTTATTAAGAAGTGTAAATAGTGTAGCTTTTAATACTTGTGTAATCTAAAAGTTGACTGGCCACAGCCATCACATCCTGTGGTGGTTCACATTACCTCTGTTTACCGTCTAAATGTATGACGACTTCAATTGCAACAGCTAAGGAAGCAGCGTGTATTTCTTTCTACTAACTCTGACATGGAGAGGATTAACCTCTGGTGCAGCAGTCTGCTAAGGAGAGTGAAGCCAGCATGCATGGATGAAGCTCATTCAGAGGCATCACCAGATGTCAGTGAGAGGTGAGCGTTTTGTTGTCCCCCTGACTACTCCACTGTTCATAATACACAACGTTTTGCTGCCACTCAGAACAGCAACTCTTCCAGAATAAGTCATCCTTGAGTTTTAGGACATAAACGTGCAAATGAGGGGATTTCAAGATGTCATTTAGTCTGTTCTCTGCACTGAAAACAATGAACACCGTTCAGACAAACCTACTTAACCATAACCATCTGTGCCATGAAGCTGACTGTTAGGGGATTTCATATCATAACCTGAATAATCAATGATCAAATAAAGGCAATGCCTTGTTGCACTTTCAGGAGGAGAGAATGAGTGATCAGTGTCCATGAGTGACACTGATTATATCCATGTCCAGTCATGCAGCTGAAGCTTATTCCCCTTATCTCTTCCTCTTGACTTCATGCCAACCAATCTTTATTCTCGTTCTCCATTAGCACTGCTCTTGTCTGCATTCTCCACTTCTTGTAGTTCTGACACTGAAGGTATTCCTAAGACTGACTGTAATTCACTGCTAAGTATAAAGAAAATTACTACATTTTCATAGTTGCTTCCCTGTATTTTCCACACTTCTGTTTAACGCCTCAGATTAAGGTTTTGTTAGGGTTTTTTTGTGCATAGTATTAGACTATTTTACTGATATTCGGTATTGCAAATAAGAGAAGGCATACTGAAGAGTAACAACGCCATCACTTCACATCCTGGGGCCACTTTCTAAAAGATTTGGCTACTTTCCAATTGCATCAGCAGCAAAAAGAATCCAAATGGGCATTTTTTTGAAAAGGTGATTTTAAAATACATTTCTATTAACACAGAATAATCCCCCAAGCACACTTAAACTGATGGTCCATGACTGAACAGCTCCAATCCCTTTATTTCTCTGAATAAACTAGCATTAAAGCACCCTGCGTTCTTGTTCTGCCTGCTTTCAGCATAAAACCAAACAAAAACAAGTATCAGTTTTCAATTTTAAACAATGTTAAGCTCACACATCTGAATAGGGATTTATATGGCTTATGTTTCCCTTCCTAAATTTCATCCTAGTATTTATATTTTTTTTTTGCATCTTGATAGACACAAATTACTGTCTTTGGCTGAGTAACTAATAGCAGAACACCTACCATAAAACTCCCCTTAGCTGAGAAATTATCCAGCTAACATTTAAACACTGTGACAGACCTATCTACAAACTGGCAGCTACCATCTAGCCTACTGCTGGGCCCATACATTGCTGTGTGTGAAAGCAAAATGCCAAGCAAGTGCCTTGTCTGTGGAGTTACAAGCCAGCTGGGGCCATGCCAGCTCCTGAAGGAAGCAAGCCAAACGTGACCCTGCTGAGAAGATCAATGACACAGCTGTAGAAGGAGTTGTAGTTGTATGGAGATTACAGTACTGTAAAGTGTAGTTAAGGATTAAATGTGATTTCTATGGGGAAATACTGGCATCCTTAAAATATGGTACATGAACTTCATTCCAGAATGTAACAGATCCTGTACTGAGCAACTTCTGTGTACAATACACTTTAGGACACTGTAAGTGGAGAAACCGAGTCTTATCCTATGCGAATAAATCCCCAAATTAGGAGTTGATTCTCTAGAATGCGCTTTATGAAATAAACAGCTTCCTAGTTTGTATGCAACTTGTTGATTATTGATGAGACCTGAGAAGTCCCTAGGATATGTCAAAGAATCTCTAACACAGGCATTGCCCTGTATTCGAATATCAAGTCCCCTGGTCCTAGCAACATCCAGGGGCTGGGGAATGTAAGGGGACAAGAAAACAACCTTTTAATCCAGCAACAAAAAGATCATAAAAAGAGTAATAAAAATCCTCCCATGAGACCCCTCTGTTATTTTAAAAAGATGATCTCTAGTTTTCTGAAGCTTTCTACAATATCCACAGCATACACACACACTCATTTTAAACAACATAACCCTTACCTTCTAAAATCCGCTACCAGTTTCACATCTGCTATGACGAGCTTGTGTTCAATAATCATGTGCTTCAGGAGCTGGTTTTGCTCTGCTAAGAGATAGCATTCTTTGCAGAAAATACAAGGCACGTAGGGAGAACTTTCTACAGCAGCAAAGCCACCTGGACTTTCTGGCAGAGACAAAGGCTCCAAAATACACTCTGTATCTAAAACAAATAAAAAGAATAATTAAGTGTGACTAAGCGAATAAATCTACATCACTTGCAGTACTTTTAGGCAGTACATGTAAAACTGGTTTTGTTGGCTCCCCATTTTATTGCATGGATCACTCCAGCAACAAGGTGCTTGGAAGCGAGTTGACTGCATTATTTCCAAAAAGGATAGTGTGAGGCTAGCACAGGGCAGTTCTTGAGTATTTGCTCCAGCTGATACTCTCCGCTGACACCAAGCCAAACAGACACAAGTGCTCTCTGGTTATTACTAATGAAAGTTCTATGATGAGAAACCTGTTTTTCTTCCTTTCATTATCTACAGTAAGTGATGATATGAATGAATCTACTCTCTTTGACATACTCCTCACGCTATCAGGAAGGCTTTAGGCTGTATAGCACAAACTGAAACACCTCCTAACTGTACAGATGTTGAACAGACACCTGCCATGCCCCATGTGGAAAGGTCATTGGCCAGTGTTTGTGTTATGCTGCGCCAGTCAGACACAGGTTGCTCAAATGACAGCGCACAGAGGTAAGTCATCAGCTTCTGTTCTTCAGGTTCCCAGCTGTTTGTGGTTCAACAAGTGGGTGGATTGCACAGTACTGCAGTAGTACTGCAAACAAACACACTGACCCAGGGTATACCTGTGTCCCTACAAACAACATAAACAATAGCAGTGTAAATTCATAAGTTCTTCCACTGGTATAAATTAGTGTAACACATTAAGAAATATTGTGACACCAACAGATTTCAAGAGCTGTCCCCATTAGCCTAACCAAATTCCAGTTGTCCAGAAATAAACCATGGTGTTCACTTCCCAAACAAATCCTATCTCAGTCTTTGCTACGGGTTTATGTTGGATTTAAATACCAATTTCATTATGAACCCTTGATTTCAGGTACATCAATTTTGGATAGTAAAAGGAGAGTAAAAGCAAACAGAAAAAACTCCCCAACGGTTCTTGCATTCTGAGGATGAAAACTGAAAAGGAAACACCATGGCTCTCCCTGACTCTTGCGTTACAAAGTTAATTTGTGCAGCGGGACAACAAACTCCATGTCTCTGGAGTCCTGCAGCAACATGAACAGGCCTGTAGAAAAATGAAATTTCACAGGATGTTTGAGGCTCAAGGGACTTTTTAAGGTCATCTGGTCCAATCCACTTGCTGAAGCAGGGTCGCATAGAGCTGGTGGCCCAGGACCATGTCCAGATGGCTTCTGAGTATTTCCAAGGATGGAGGCTCCACAACCTTCCTGGGCAACCTCGCAATAAAAGAGCAATGCCTGATGTGGAGAGCGAACCTCCCCGGTTTCAGTTTCTGAAGACATCCAAAGAATTAGATTGGATATAAGGAGGAAATTCTTTCCTGTTAGGGTGGTGAGGCACTGGAATGGGTTGCCCAGGGAGGTTGTGAATGCTCCATCCCTGGCAGTGTTCAAGGCCAGGCTGGACAGAGCCTTGGGTGAGATGGTTTAGTGTGAGGTGTCCCTGCCCATGGCAGGGGGGTTGGAACTTGATGATCTTAAGGTCCTTTCCAACCCTAACTATTCTATGATTCTATGAATTAAGAGAAAGGCCTTCTCCCAAGTCGTATTTTGTCATGCAGGAATGTATGGCTAAAGGAAGTTTAATTAATGATGTTTACCAGATAGAAGAATCAATGACAACTTTTACCCTACCAAATACACATATATGCATTATGCAGAGGCAAATACATTACATCTGGTAATCTGGTAACTTGTCCACATGAAAAATTTGAAAAATAATCTTTAAATTTACATCTATTTAGTTTTCTTTCCCAGGAAAATAAGCTAATGGAGGAGTTCTGTCCCCCCACCCTCCCAAGACACTGAAATAACAAAAGAAGGGCCAGAGCTTCAGAGATGGACCTGGGAAGCTCCTAAAAGTTCTGTGACAAATTTCCATTCAGATAAGGGAAGAGAGGTATGGAGAGGAGCAGAAGGCTCTGCCACCCATCATAGAGGCTGTTGAGCAGTGGCTGGCCTGCCAATGTGGACATGTAGCACTCCACAGCAGCCACAGCTGCCTGATGAAGGTGCTCCAGGGACCAAGGGTAAGCTGGAGCTACTGTCCCACAGGTGGGAAAAGGTACAAAGCCATAGGAAATACAACTTCGTTGGTTCCACACTGCTCCTGGAATAACATATCTGCCCTGCACAACCTTTGAGGGTTGTATTTATGACATTTGAAAACATTAAACTTATTGGAAAGGCAATGATTTGGCTGAAGTCAGGTTACACAGCCTTCAGTCTCTCCCATAAAATTATCTGAGAAGGGATGGCAGCACACAGAAATGGCATTACCTGGACCTATACAACTGCTGTTGACAGCCTAGCATTTTTCTCTCATAATTTTACCTGCACTTTAGCCCATTCCCTTCCCCAAGACATTTCTTTATTAAACAGACATTGTAAAAAGGGTTCAATTTTTTCCTACCTTAAGAACAGCAGCTGCTACACTAACTGCTAGAGCAATCCTCCTGATGGGGTCTGCTCTCCGAAACAAAACTGATGTTACCTGCAAGAGGCTAGGTCTGTGCATTCTTACAGTCAGTATTAGTTTGTAGCCTGAAGAACCATTAAAACATGGTTTCTGAGGAAAGTAGAGCAACTTGATTCCCTTTGCAACTGCTGACTCTCTCTGATGCTAAGAGAACTAAGATATGCTGTTAGCCAGTTCAGCTGTGCCCAGTAAGCAGCTACACTGCTTTTTGTTCATTTTTGGTTCAGGTCTCTTGCAATGACCTATTTAAACATTTAGAAGTCCAAATAAACAATGCCTATCTGTCTCAACAATCCAACTTTCAAAAGACAGGTGCGTATGGCAGGAACTGCTACTCAATATGGACAAATAGCTGATAGAGTTATTTAGCATGAGTATTGGCAATAGTAATTGTTTGGGCTGGAAAACCAGAGCTGTTAATCTTCAGCTGTAGTGACGACTTGCTGAAAGGAATACACTGGGGTGAAGATTCTTTTTTGCTGCCCAGATTAGCTAATACTAAAAGACAGTAACTTAAATATAGACTACTAGACCTGTGTGGCAACTGCAAAAGCATATGCAATTTGTTTCAAAGGCACTTAAAGGAGGAGGTGAGGGGAAAATACAAATCCAGGAAAATATCTGTGCACTCATCTGCTGCAAAAAATACTCACTGAAAGGAGAATAAATGCACAGAGCTGAACAAAGACACAGCCTTTAAGCATAGCACTTAATGGACTAACATGTAACAGAAACATCAAAATAGTACAGATAAAGCAAAGCATACTACTGAAATCTCAGCAAAACCAGCTAATTTTCATTCTATTTTTCTTTAAAGCAGAGTGGCAATGGGTACTGAAGAAAAGCTGTTAACTAAGGCAGAGCTAAGGGCTACTAGGGGAATAAAACACTCAGATTGAGTTCCTGAGCTCCACCAGGACTCCCGCATGAAAATGAGGGAGAAGAAGCAAGCTTTTCTCTTAGAATTTGCTGCCTCAAGAATGACTTCATAGGGTCAGATTAAACACCTCCATAGTGGAACTGACTTGGCTGAGGATAGCAAGAAGCAATTACCTAGAGAAGTGTATATAAATAGGGAAAACAATAGGGAATAATAGCATAGGGAATAGGGCAAACTAGCATAGTCTTCCAGAAGTACAAGTGTGGAGAGTTTAAGTCACAGGCTATATGAGTACCTCAGTTTAACAGCATTTTATGGCTTTCATCTTTTTTCTTTCCCCTCCATGGATTTGTTTCTGTACTGTTTGAATTTGTTGGTTTTCAAAACCTACAGAACCCTGCAGCAACATTTTATGTTCTCCTAATGGTTCTTCATTACTTGGCCTGGTGGAACTCTTGGCTAGTTCTACTCTACCCTTCTTCATGTGCTGGTGTGAGGAGTGCTTTGAAAATGCTCAAACATTGAAGAAAATGGATTTTAAATCAGTACAGTTTTTCCTCATCCTCTTCTCTATTTCTTTTATACTCCTAGCATTTTGCTTGCTTTTATGATTACTGAATTAACCACTGAAGTATCTTCAGTGATTTCAAAGTCTCAGAGAAGTTGTGAATCAGGTGTTAATGTACAAGACACTGGTCATACTCTCCATGTTCACTCCCATGTGTGTTACTTTGCATTTGTTAACATCAAATAGCACTTATTTTTTTGTCCAGTTCACTCAAGAGCTTGGAGGAGAAATTATATTAACAGCAAAATTTGTCACCTAACACCCTTCCTATTTGTGTCTGTGAACAGCACGGGACCTAGCTCCCTATGAGAACAGAGCTCTACAAAACCCATGCATTAAGTTTCTGCCAAATCATCCTGTTACCACTGTCATCACTGAGTTTTCCTTCTCTGCCTAATGGAAAAACAGCAGGACTGTTACACAAACAGATATCCCAGAGGCTTCACAGAAACCCTACCAAACTCAGGAATTAAGAAAATCCCTATCTCATTCACAGTGTTGACAGTCACCATGTTGTTCAGCCTTTAACAGGACAGATAAAATTGTGGTCTTCTGCAGCTAATTCAGAGATAAAGAATGTAGATTAGTAGAAAGAAAAGACTAAAGGAATATATTATTTGAAAACAAAGACTAAGAAGTATGCCCAGTTCTTTAGGGGAAAAGAAAATGAACGCTTTGAAGACATTTGAGATTATATAGAAAACTATCTGGGTTAGATAAATTACTTTCAAAACTAGAATAAGCACTACTTCTTGTTGTACGCACCCATGGGACACCTAGTGCAATGGAATCCTGATCCGAGCACAGAAACTCTACACACCTTTACAACAGTGATAAAAGAAAATGAAAAAAATGCCTGTTATAGAGATTATAAGGCTTTATTTTAAGTGATGCTATAATATAGACCAGTTAATCTTCACAACTAACAAAGCAACAGGCCCAAACTGGATTCCTTTTCCTTACTGGAACATTTTTCATTTCAAATACAATTGCTTTCAACTTGAAACTAATGTTAGTTTGCACATTAAGTAAATGTTACACCCACAAAGTCATAATACAGACTACAGTAGTACAGGCAATGTACTCTACCTGCACAATGACACATGCAATTATCACAAAGCAATATGCCATGTAATTTTATGGCCAATAAAATAGATGCAAGTATCAGAAATAAAAGGAAAGAAAAATTCAGCATTTGAAGGTGAGTTGTGAAAGGCAAAGTCCTTAGAGATGGTCTAGCCTGTGTTACAGCTTGCTGCCACCAAGTAAAGGGGTGTCTTGTTAGCCTGTCTTTCTCCACCTTATCCTACCACTCCTAACCATCTGCTATTGCCCTTCTGCTTGTGCTGGCTGCTCTGCTTGCCAAATCCTTTGATGAGTCGATTCAACTCTTTAATCAGACAGAACTACTCCTTTCTTTTTGCTCCACAATGTTGAAAACTCTCACAGAAGAGTCCAAGAGCTCAAGTGCAAGAGCAAACCAAGGAGTGCATGGTAAGAAGCAGCAAGATGAAACAGGACCTTCTTCTCATCTCAGCTTCCTCCTCTCAGCTTAACAGCTTTAGTTGTTTCATGTTTTTGTTTTTAACCATAAGCATGCTTCATAAAGCGTGCGAGGTTCCTTAAAAAGCACTGCACACAAAGGAAAAGAAAACACTGAGATTCCATCAGTGTGCTTCCTAAACAAGGACCAGCACTGGCTTCAGGTTGCAAAAACTACTGTTGTACATATAGACAAGTGTAATGCACTAAATGCAGTAAGAGCTGTGTGCTCAATTTGTCTTGGTTGCACATCTGAACTATGTGCTCCGAATAGATCGGGGGACAAGCTGAACACTGCTGCAGAAATTACATTCTCTAGCCAGAAAGTGGACAAACTGGGGTTCAGATCAATGAAACAACTTCACTGTTACAACTCCTAATTCACATGGCTTGGCCCTGGGGTGCAACCTGCAGCTGTGACTTGAGTGCATGAGCTCAGGGAGAGGGAAACCGTTCCAGCAGGCAACCAGCAAACTGAGGAAGGAACTCCCTAAATCCATCCACAGGGTACGATGAGGAGAGGGACACTTGTAACCTTTTTGAAGCTTTGCCACCAGACAAAAAAGAATGCAAGTCATGAGACCAGGAGGAAAGGAGGTAAGCTCAAAGGCAATGTGTTTTAACTAGGGAAGAAACTTAACTAGTTTTAAAGAGATCAAGCATTTTGTTATCAGAAGAATACTCTGAAAATTCAAGACTACACATAGTCTGAGAAATTGAACAATGGAAGAGCAATTAGTAGGAACTGGCTTAAGACACATATTTACAGGTTTCATGTAACTTTTTGCAGTTTACTGCAAAATGACAAGACTTTAGGTTGAGGAGTGTGTTATGTAAATATAGACATGCAGAGTACATATTTATAAGCCTGCTGTTGTAACACAAGGATAATGAAACAAAATAAGAACATCTGTTGGAATGTTAAGTGTCTTTCTAATTAAATACAATAGCTGAATGAATCAATTCATTACCAACAAATCTGGTTTATTATCTCATTAATACAGCTGGTTAATATTACGAGGAAATTAGCACAGGAACTTGAAATGGTCCTAAACCAAAAATGGATGCAACAAAAATATACAGGCAAATAAAGGAGCTCAAACAATGAGTAAAAGACTGAGGTTTTTAGACATGTAAAGAACAAAGGGGAGAAAAAAGAACAGGAAAACAAAAGACACCTAGCAAACCTGGCACTCCACACTAACAGCACAACAGATGTAGAAAACAAAGCCTGAGCACCCTCCCACCAAGCTCACACTGATTACATGGCAAAACCATTTAGTTACCAAAATGACCAAACCCCCAGATATGGTACATTAGGGTACCAAGCTTGATTCCTATAGCTAATTCTGCACAAAACAGTGCTGTGTTTAAAACTAATTGGAAAATGAGTGGTTTGAAAGGTCTGTCTAGCACTGAAGCTGTTTTGAGACATAATGAAAAAGAACATTGAGAAGCACTGGCTTGACACTTGAAATACACATGACAGCTTCCCCGTTTTGCAGCCTTGGCACTGCAGCATCTATTTGTTGGCACAGCAGCATCTCCTAATTTGTGGTCATATTCTTGGAAGAGATTTTATACTCATTACTGGATTTTTCCTTTGTTTTCTAGAGTATAAAAGATAGATGACTAATGACTTGCCAAATAAACAGGATTCAAAACTAAAACTCAGAATAACGGAAATGAACCAGCCTGTCATCATCCTCACCAATGCTACATGAAAACCTGTTCCTCAGCTAAACAAGAACCAATGTACATAACCATTTCCCACCTCTGTATATGAAAGCGCTCATGTACTTCTATTAAGCTGAATTGAGTCTGAGCTCATGAGGAATTATTTAGATATTACTTCTGCTTGTTAACACACTATGAATGATACTGAGTTAAAATGTCCATTTGCTCTAGGAGACAGCACATCCTGTAGCTTCCCCCAAGATCAGTCTGTCTTAACCTTGCCTGGTTTTTCATTGAATGCAAATGAGCACTTCAAAAGAGTACTTAATCCTACAGCTAAACCTTGTCAGTTTTACAGAAACCGCACATATTCTGCAGCATCCGCTGTCTGGGAGTATGAGAATTTTACTCCAGCCAAATGACAGCTTTAAGAAAAGCTGTGAGTTACCAAATCCTAGTATC